AAAGCGCATCACTTGATGAATCCACACTGAGGATACAACAGACTCGATCTGGCCAAAGACTGCAATCTTCACCTATGTCCCAACAGCCAGCGGAATAAGGTATGCTGACGCGTTTCCAAGATAAAAACAATGGGAGTGACGAGCGCAGAAGTGTACTTCGCCTCAACTGGTCATCCGGCCACAAGATTCACCTTCCAACATCCATGGACTGAACAGAAGCCACACAGCCCGGAGCTCACTCCCACACAGACCAGCCACAGATTCCGCCCTGCTGACAATTAACGGCAAGATACCACCTCGTCCGTCCAAAAGTGAGCCTGCATCAATAGTTACACTGTATCTTTTAACTGTTAAACACCCAGTATTCCAGGGTTGTTGCGCTCCTTTCGTTGTTTGACGCGTTTCCAAGACCACACCCCCTTCATTAGAGGCTGTGGAAACCCATTGGTCATACCAGATACTGTTGGCCCCTTTTGACATATTTGAAGTTAATTTTTGGCCGGTTCGGGTCTTCTGTACCCACATTGCGGATTCATCAAGTGATACGTTTTATTTTTGTATCTTTAGGAGTATTTTTTAGTATATACATATTTCACAAAGACGAGGCACTCTTCCGTTCTCGGTGTCCTGTCTGTGGTGGGAGCCGCCTCTCCTCAGAGACGTTTGGTCATTAGGTGGGGGCCTAGTGCGGTCACACGTGTGACAAATGCGTCAGTCATCGTTAGCGCCATGGCTGTTTTTGGTCTGTAAAGTGGTGACTGGAGTCTAAAAAAAAAAACATGGCGGCTTGTGTGCGCTCAGGAGCGGAGGACACGATGGATTCACAAACATGGTGGGTGTGAAAGCGCAACATTATAATGGTTGGCCTCAGGAGCGCAGATGCTATTATGGGATGTTGGTGAACTGTACCCTACAGTGAAGAGTTTCCATGGACTAATTGTCTACTATGGGGACCTTCTACTATGGGGACCGTCTCACATCCCTTCAGCATTGAAGAGAGATCCTGAGGGGACCTTCCACCTCCCCATGTAAAATCTGCCCACTGACCCCTTTTCACTGGTCAATGCTGAACATATGTACTTGCCAGCCCATGAAAATCCTGCCTTGTCCTCGTCCAATCCACCACTGTGCTGCTGCACGCCATCTTTCTTTTTTGTGTCATCCAGATACAGCTCCCCGATTATGCAGCCCGACATCTCGTGCATACAGAGAGTGGGCGCCATGATGTACATGGAGTGAGATCCCACGTGATTCCCTTACGGATCAGAACTCCAGGAAGGTGTGACACCGGCATCTCACGTGGGCGCTACTTGTTTTTTCGCCTAGACTAGAATTGAAGAGGGGAATGGTGTCTCAATCAAAGAAAAGGAAGCTACTCCTCTGCCATAAAGAAGCTGATATTTTAAATATTGTTAGAGGCTGGGCAGGAAGTCAATGGGACATTGCTATTGTAGGTTCACCTTAACGTCCACAGCAACCGTGGGGGAAGGGAAGGTTTTCTCGCATAGGCAACATTGACCTTTTCTGATCTGAGCCCGATGTAGATTTTTCGTCTGAAGCTCATATGAGAATCTCTCAGTAGCAGGAGATTACAAACAACCCATTATATGAATCCAGCGAGGATACAATAATGTAGAACGTTTCATGTTGGCTCCCTGAACATTACACATAATGGTCCTCATACCTCTGCATTATGCTGTCCACAGATCTCTGACTGCAACAACCCAACAAGTGATATTCCATACGTTTTCTACGATGAGCGACATGTTCAGTGATTGATCACCCTCCCCAGCTGACTCGCCAATGGTTTTCCTCCCCCGCTGCTCCAGAGCAAAGATCTCCAAGCGTCAGTTTGAAGTTCCCGCTGGGTGAAGGACCTTATGTGACCACAGCAGAGACCAATCACTGAGCACCAGCACCCTCCCATTAAGGAGGTGAGTCATATCGGTGGGGAGGGAAGGGCGAATCGTATGGGTGGTGAGGAAAGGGCGAGTGGTATGGGTGGGGAGGGAAGGGCGAGTGGTATGGGTGGCGAGGGGAGGGCGAGTGGTATGGGTGGCGAGGGAAGGGCGAGTGGTATCGGTGGCGAGGGGAGGGCGAGTGGTATGGGTGGCGAGGGAAGGGCGAGTGGTATCGGTGGCGAGGGGAGGGCGAGTGGTATGGGTGGCGAGGGAAGGGCGAGTGGTATCGGTGGCGAGGGGAGGGCGAGTGGTATGGGTGGCGAGGGAAGGGCGAGTGGTATCGGTGGCGAGGGGAGGGCGAGTGGTATGGGTGGCGAGGGAAGGGCGAGTGGTATCGGTGGCGAGGGGAGGGCGAGTGGTATGGGTGGCGAGGGAAGGGCGAGTGGTATCGGTGGCGAGGGGAGGGCGAGTGGTATGGGTGGCGAGGGAAGGGCGAGTGGTATCGGTGGCGAGGGGAGGGCGAGTGGTATGGGTGGCGAGGGAAGGGCGAGTGGTATCGGTGGCGAGGGGAGGGCGAGTGGTATGGGTGGCGAGGGAAGGGCGAGTGGTATCGGTGGCGAGGGGAGGGCGAGTGGTATGGGTGGCGAGGGAAGGGCGAGTGGTATCGGTGGCGAGGGGAGGGCGAGTGGTATGGGTGGCGAGGGAAGGGCGAGTGGTATCGGTGGCGAGGGGAGGGCGAGTGGTATGGGTGGCGAGGGAAGGGCGAGTGGTATCGGTGGCGAGGGGAGGGCGAGTGGTATGGGTGGCGAGGGAAGGGCGAGTGGTATCGGTGGCGAGGGGAGGGCGAGTGGTATGGGTGGCGAGGGAAGGGCGAGTGGTATCGGTGGCGAGGGGAGGGCGAGTGGTATGGGTGGCGAGGGAAGGGCGAGTGGTATCGGTGGCGAGGGGAGGGCGAGTGGTATGGGTGGCGAGGGAAGGGCGAGTGGTATCGGTGGCGAGGGGAGGGCGAGTGGTATGGGTGGCGAGGGAAGGGCGAGTGGTATCGGTGGCGAGGGGAGGGCGAGTGGTATGGGTGGCGAGGGAAGGGCGAGTGGTATCGGTGGCGAGGGGAGGGCGAGTGGTATGGGTGGCGAGGGAAGGGCGAGTGGTATCGGTGGCGAGGGGAGGGCGAGTGGTATGGGTGGCGAGGGAAGGGCGAGTGGTATCGGTGGCGAGGGGAGGGCGAGTGGTATGGGTGGCGAGGGAAGGGCGAGTGGTATCGGTGGCGAGGGGAGGGCGAGTGGTATGGGTGGCGAGGGAAGGGCGAGTGGTATCGGTGGCGAGGGGAGGGCGAGTGGTATGGGTGGCGAGGGAAGGGCGAGTCGTATGGGAGGGGAGGGAAGGGCGAGTGTATACAGCTGGGGAAGGGGGGCAGTTATGTGAACTTGAAGCTTTGCCCATGATGGACAACACACGGCTTCACTCGAAGTTAAAACCTTCAATGTGCGTCTGTGTTCACACTTCTGGATTTTGGGTTCTTTGCTATGATGGGTGATGGCACCTTTCCCATCCTAGCGTTTTCTTCACACACATTTAACTGTAAGCCGGCTCTAGAACTACCTCCAGGGTCATTGTCTCTTCTGCAAGACAATCCCTATGTTGTACATTTTTGATTTTTCAACCCATCTATGCGCAACGTTCCCTGCAGAAGCCGCATACACATCCCCAGACATCGGACCCCGGAGTATACAAATGAAAGTGGAAACTCTTTTGCAATATAACATTTTTCTTTCACATTTGAAGATCTTCATTTATTGACCAGAAAGTTCCATATTAAACCCGGTCTGTATTCGAGAGGAAACTGAAAGATCCATTCTGAGGTCACACCTCCAACATCACACATCTGCTCTCATGTCTTCCATATGCTATATGGCCGAATATTTGTGGACCCCGACCATCACACCTATATGAGCTGGGTGGATATCCCATTCCAAGACCATGGCCATTAATATGGAGTTGTCCCCTTTGTGGTTCTACCATCCTCCACTCTTCTGGGAAAGCTTTTCACAAGATTTTGGAGGGGGTCTGTGGGAATTTTTCCCATTAGTAAGGTCAGGTACTGATGTTGGATGAGAAGACCTGGCTCACAATTAGTTTTCCAATTCATCCCAAAGGTGATCAGTGGGGTTGAGGTCAGGGCTCTGTGCAGGACACTGGAGTTCCTCCACACCAAGCTGGTCCCACCATGTCTTTATGGAGCTGGCTTTGTACACAGGGGACAGAAAAGGGTCTTCACCAAACTGTGACCACAACGCTGGAAGAGCCCATTTGTCTACAATGTCTTTGTGTAATGGAGTATTACCAGAACCTTCACTGGAGACCCCTGACAGCCGATGTGGGGAAGGGGGTCCTCATACGTTTGTCAATATAGCAAGTGTGATGGTCAGGTGTCCACAAACAGCTTTGTAATTTGTTGGCCATTACTCAGCACTGAAGTGCACACCTGCTCTAATCTGGAAAGCTTTAATAGACTCCTGGACACCTGGCCTGGGCCATTCAACAGGTTAGTCTGTCTGCTCATGCCCCGGATTCAGCTCTGTCTGATATCTGTCTATGGGGGGAGTCCACGTACCTTTGGCCATATAGTAGGGTGTGATAGTCAGGGGTCCATAAACATTTAGCGTATAGTGTTACCTCTCTCAGGCATCACTGCATATCTTTCAGTTGGATGTAATAAATGATACGCCATCTCTAGAAGAGCGATATAACATTTCACAGGATGAGCTGCTGACCTGTGTGACACCCAGCCGTTTGTCATGCAATGGAACTATGGCACAAACAACCGCTGCTGGTATTTTATACAAGTGTCCCGTTACACTCGAGCCCCCACGTCTTGTAGAGACGGATTTCTGTGGCCTATATATTATTCTTCACTTAAAGATACGGTACAGGAAGAACTATTCATATGTCAACTGCTCAATAACGTTTCATTCCGCGGCACTGCAGCCGCTGGTTAGTGCAACATCAGGACCAACTGGTCTTCAGAACACTGGTAAGGCAGTCCTATGCACTCTTGCGGCGTAGTCCCTGTTGGTACGAGGATGAGAACACCACAGAGCCAGCTGATTCTTCATGTCCACGACGGCAAACCCCCGAGGCGGCATTCCTCCATCTTTCCGCAATATTAGGTGGGAAAGGGAGGAGGATGTCTGTCCAATCCAAAGGGCTAATAACACTGTATGGACCTGTAAAGTTTTTACCCACTCTCCATGGGAGGAGCTTTATGAGCCTTCGCCCAATCGTATCGCACCAAAGAACGTCGTATGTCTGCTCATATTGATGGAGATGTCGGCGTGAACCATCTTCACTGCGATCTTCTGTTTGGCTTTTAAAAGGCAAACTCCGGCCGTGTAGCAAGTGTTGAAGTTGGTTTTGCCCGGCTCTATGCTCCGCGTACACTGCAGGAACGGCTTCTCGTCCACCACCACCTCGTAGCTGGCAAAATCCGGGAAGTTGATGTAGTAAACCTGGGAAAGGAAAACGCACTCAGTCAGGTCAAAGAGACTAAATTCACTGAAAATACATAAAACATTAATACATTTTTAGGGTTGGGGGGGTCACATGACCTGCCATTCTCCATTCCTGTGCCTCTACCCAGGAGTATAGGGGTGTGACTTAAATCTTGCAGCTGAGTTCTGACAGGTTCCTGCTCATGACACAGAACAGTGCTGGGTGAGGGGGGGGGCGAGGCTGTGCTGTCAGCAACAGAACACAGACACACCATGCATTGGCATGGCCCCCTGTACCAGCACCCCCCAAAACAGCAAGCCCAGGGACGCTAAATGACCACGGATCTGCTTGGTGGGTGGAATTTGCAACAGGAAAGAAGGGTGACTGGCAAGATCCCCAGAAAACAAGGAAGGGGCTTTATTTACAAACCCGGATGTATCAAATATAACATTTTGGGGTCACATGGACTTTAACACGTATGTGTTTTTAGCTTTTGAATTGATGATTCTGAAGTGCAGGAATGACACGGATATTACCGATCACAGGATAACTACTTCCAGATCCAAGGTGAATAAAACTGTCCCCAGGTCCAAGGATTGGCCACTAGGCCTGAGCTGCAATGTAGGATGGAGGGGGGAACGTCACTGCCCATTGTAAGGCTCCAGCACCAGGTATAGGGGGAGCGTCGGCACCACTTTCTCTAAGCTCCGATACCCGGGAAGCTGCAACAGAGCGCTGTAGAAGCGAGTATAGGCGGGTCAGGGGAAGGGGGATTTAAACAAATTACATTTTCGGGGTGACCTGCACTCTAACATGTATTTGTTTTTAGTTTTCAAAATGAAAGAATTCATCATTCTATGTTCGGGAATGGCGCAGATCTCGTCTATGACTGGGTAAGGGATACATGGACAAGGTGACAGGGTCTCTTTAACCCCTTCACAACCAACGACGTACAGTGTACATCGCTGGCATCGGGGCTGTTTAAACAGACTCCTGGCGGCAAACCCTGTTTAAACTTGTAAAGCCGACTGTTGGCTTTACAGTAGAAGCGATTCTGGTGACTCAGCTGTCGCCAGATCGCTTCTACACCCTGGTGAAGCGGTCCCCCTCCGCCTGACACCCCCGCCGAGTTTTCCGGGCTCCTTTGCCCCTCCTACGGGCCCAGCTTCTCTGGTGGCGGGGGGCAAGCTGGGCGAACCTCCGTTCGTCGATCCCCCTCCTCATTCTATGGGACCGATGCAGATCCCATAGCCGTCATTGCTCGGCTCCTGAAGCCCAGCTATAAGCTATTGAAGTGCGATCTGGGTATCTCTAAACTGATGACCTGTGGGGGCTTTTAAAGCGTCTAGGGACTTTTTAGGGTACTGAATTTTGTCCCCGTTTCACGGACGCACACAATGTTTAACCTGGGCATGGTGGATATCTATGTACTCGTTGTAACCTCATCTTTTATATTCTATTAAAAAATAGGTATTTTATTGTGTTTTGGGGCGTTTAATTACATTTTTTTAAACTAAATTTTGGGGTTTGATAAGGAGTTGCGCTAATATGATGCGACATAAAAATTTGGATCTCGGCTTTCAGAAAAATGTATCATGTTTGGGGTTTTTTAGTAATTTTCAGGCCTAAAATGTGGAATATTTCATGGGAGCAAAAAATGAAAAAAAGAAAAGGCCTCGGTCATGAAGGGGTTAATGACCAAGTTTGGACTTTTTATTTGCAGGAAAAAAATTATTACATTCCATGTCTGCTTCACCCCAGCCAGCAAACGTCTCTTGGCAAAAACATTTTTTTGTTTGCTCCACACATGCAGATTGCATTACATTTACCATGGTTATTTTGGTTTTCCTATAGGAGCCTCTTAAAGCAGACCTTCCATCAAAAAATACATTATACCCCATCCAACCCCCCCCTCCCCGTTGCAATGTTAATTTGACCTGCACTATCACCAACCCAACCCCCC